TAGCAATCATGTTTGAAACAGACAGACTCAATTTTTGAGATAATTCTTTTTGTAAATATGATAGAAAATTCATGTGCCCAATTAAACTTACTAAGGCTGTCTTTCATGTCAACAGTTTCAAATTTAATCACTTTGAGAGAAGCAAGTTTAATTCGCTATTAAGTTTGTAGTTTATTACTAGAAAGTTCCTGTAAAAATTGATTATTTCATTTTTTAATTTAAACGTGGGATGAATCGGTTGCTGATAGCTGAATTTATGAGAAATTGGTGTTTTTAATATCAGGTTTACAGTTTTCGCAGACCCTATTAATCACGATTATTCAATCATAATTTTGTATTAAATTCCAAATTAAATAAAATGATAGAAAAGATTGATTAATTCATTATTGGAAATGTTATAAAAACATAGGCGATTAGAATTTCACAGTTTTATCTTGGTCAGTATTAATCATTATTCAAAGAAAGGAAATAAAAAATGCAGACTGAGACTTTTTAATATTTTTTTTTAAATAATTTATTGTTAAAAATGTGTATTAGGTTCTTTTTCTTGTCAGTATTGAGAATTTATTTGTCTATGCCTTAATTGTTTTCATCCCAACTGTCTCTTTTTAAGTGGGTAAAGTATATTGAAGGGTTCTTCATTATTCCCTGTATGGCTTTAATCAAATTATTCTGTTTAGAAGATATATCAACAAGAATTTACTGTTTGTTTCATCACCTCGCTCTAACACTACCAGCTATAGTAATGACACTTGACTGCACATTGTATCAGTTAAAATATCACCAATTACATCCTAGTTAACATAAGAGGACTGTACATGGACTCAGTTAAAATACTACCAATTACATCCTAGTTAACATAAGGGGACTGTACATGGACTCAGTTAAAATACTACCAATTACATTCTAGTTAACATAAGGGGATTGTACATTTTATTAGTAAAATATCACCAATTGCATTCTAGTTAACATAAGGGGACTGTAAATAGTGTCAGTTAAAAAATTACTAATTACATCCTAGTGAACATTAGGGGACTGTACATTGTATCAATTAAAATATCACCAATTACATCCTAGTGAACATTAGGGGACTGTACATTAACTAAGTTAAAATATGACCAATTACATTCTAGTTAACATTGGGGACTGTACATTGTATCAGTTAAAATATCACCAATTCCATCTTAGTTAACATTAGGGGACTGTACATTGTATCAATTAAAATATCACCAATTACACCCTATTTAACATTAGGGGACTGTACATTGTATCAGTTAAAATATCACCAATTACATCCTAGTTATACCCCACGCAACGAGTTGTGAAACCTTATTAGATAATAAGGACATACTATGTAGTTGTGCATATCGACAGGAAATTACGATTCAATTCTTTTTCTAGGAGTTACACCCCTTTGAACTTATTAACTTTAATGTACTACTGCAACAGTTTGTCATCGCAACTCCTCTCAGACCACACAACAGAATTTCATGAAACCTTTTCAGATAATAAGGACATACTACGTAGATGTGCATATTGACAGGAAATTACGATTCAAATTTTTTTCCAGGAGTTACGCCCCTTTGAACTTATTTGCCCAATATACTACTGCAACCTTTTGTCATCGCAACTCCTCTCAAACCACACTACAGAATTTCATGAAACCTTTTCAGATAATAAGGACATACTACGTAGATGTGCATATCGACAGGAAATTACAATTCAATTTTTTTTTCCAGGAGTTACGCCCCTTTGAACTTATTTGCCCAATATACTACTGCAACCTTTTGTCATCGCAAATCCTCTCAAACCACACAACAGAATTTCATGAAACCTTTTCAGATAATAAGGACATACTACGTAGATGTGCATATCGACAGGAAATTACGATTCAATTTTTTTTCCATGAGTTACGCCCCTTTGAACTTATTTGCCCAATATACTACTGCAACCTTTTGTCATCGCAACTCCTCTCAAACCACACAACAGAATTTCATGAAACCTTTTCAGATAATAAGGACATACTATGTAGTTGTGCATATGGACAGGAAATTACGATTCAATTTTTTTCCCAGGAGTTACGCCCCTTTGAACTTATTTGCCCAATATACTACTGCAACCTTTTGTCATCGCAACTCCTCTCAAACCACACAACAGAATTTCATGAAACCTTTTCAGATAATAAGGACATACTATGTAGTTGTGCATATGGACAGGAAATTACGATTCAATTTTTTTCCCAGGAGTTACGCCCCTTTGAACTTATTTGCCCAATATACTACTGCAACCTTTTGTCATCGCAACTCCTCTCAAACCACACAACAGAATTTCATTAAACTGTGTAGATAATAAGGACATACTATGTAGATGTGCATATTGACAGGAAATTATGATTCAATTTTTTTTTTCTTACACTTATTTTATTTCTCCAATGACAATGTTGGGATGTGGGGTATGTGAGCTCGCTCACTAAGGTTCTTTAATTAACATTGGGGACTGTACATTGTATCAGTTAAAATATCACCAATTACATTCTAGTTAACATTAGGGGACTGTACATTATATCAGTTAAAATATCACCAATTACATTCTAGTTAACATTAGGGGACTATACATTATATCAGTTAAAATATCATCAATTACATTCTAGTTAACATTAGGGGACTGTACATTATATCAGTTAAAAAATCACCAATTACATCCTAGTTAACATAAGGGGACTGTACATGGACTCAGTTAAAATACTACCAATTACATTCTAGTTAACATAAGGGGACTGTACATTTTATTAGTAAAACATCACCAATTGCATTCTAGTTAACATAAGGGGACTGTAAATTGTGTCAGTTAAAAAATTACTAATTACATCCTAGTGAACATTAGGGGACTGTACATTGTATCAGTTAAAATATCACTAATTACATCCTAGTGAACATTAGGGGACTGTACATTAACTAAGTTAAAATATGACCAATTACATTCTAGTTAACATTGGGGACTGTACATTGTATCAGTTAAAATATCACCAATTCCATATTAGTTAACATTAGGGGACTGTACATTGTATCAATTAAAATATCACCAATAACCCCCTATTTAACATTAGGGGACTGTACATTGACTCAGTTAGAATATCACCAATTACATCTTAGTAAACATTAAGGGATTGTACATTGACTCAGTTAGAATATCACTAATTACATCTTAGTTAACATGAGGGGACTGTTCATTGTATCAGTTAAAATATCACCAATTACATCCTAGTTAACATTAGGGGACTGTACATTGTATCAGTTAAAATATCACCAATTACATCCTAGTTAACATTAGGGGACTGTACATTGTATCAGTTAAAATATCACCAATTACATTCTAGTTAACATTAGGGGACTGTACATTATATCAATTAAATATCACCAATTACATTCTAGTTAACATTAGGGGACTGTACATTATATCAGTTAAAATATCACCAATTACATTCTAGTTAACATTAGGGGACTGTACATTATATCAGTTAAAATATCACCAATTACATTCTAGTTAACATTAGGGGACTGTACATTATATCAGTTAAAATATCACCAATTACATTCTATTTAACATTAGGGGACTGTACATTATATCAGTTAAAATATCACCAATTACATCCTTGTTAACATTAGGGGACTGTACATCATATCAGTTAAAATATCACCAATTACATTCTAGTTAACATTAGGGGACTGTACATTATATCAGTTAAAATATCACCAATTTCATTCTTGTTAACATTAGGGGACTGTACATTATATCAGTTAAAATATCACCAATTACATCCTTGTTAACATTAGGGGACTGTACATTATATCAGTTAAAATATCACCAATTACATCCTTGTTAACATAGGGGGCTGTACATTATATCAGTTAAAATATCACCAATTACATCCTTGTTAACATTAGGGGACTGTACATTATATCAGTTAAAATATCACCAATTACATTCTAGTTAACATTAGGGGACTGTACATTATATCAGTTAAAATATCACCAATTACATTCTAGATAACATTAGTGGACTGTACATTGTATCAGTTAAAATATCACCAATTCCATCTTAGTTAACATTAGGGGACTGTACATTGTATCAATTAAAATATCACCAATTACACCCTATTTAACATTAGGGGACTGTACATTGACTCAGTTAGAATATCACCAATTACATCCTTGTTAACATTAGGGGACTGTACATTATATCAGTTAAAATATCACCAATTACATCCTTGTTAACATTAGGGGACTGTACATTATATCAGTTAAAATATCACCAATTACATCCTTGTTAACATTAGGGGACTGTACATTATATCAGTTAAAATATCACCAATTACATCCTTGTTAACATTAGGGTACTGTACATTATATCAGTTAAAATATCACCAATTACATCCTTGTTAACATTAGAGGACTGTACATTATATCAGTTAAAATATCACCAATTACATCCTTGTTAACATTAGGGGACTGTACATTATATCAGTTAAAATATCACCAATTACATTCTAGTTAACATTAGGGGACTGTACATTATATCAGTTAAAATATCACCAATTACATCCTAGTTAATATTAGGGGACTGTACATTGTATCAGTTAAAATATCATTAATTACATCCTTGTTAACATTAGGGGACTGTACATTATATCAGTTAAAATATCACCAATTACATCCTTGTTAACATTAGGGGACTGTACATTATATCAGTTAAAATATCATCAATTACATCCTTGTTAACAGATATTTAAAAAAATAGTAAATATCATAATGAACATTGTGTACCAAGTTGATACACATGTTCATTATGATGTAACCTTAACAACATATATGTTATATTGAGGTTTTGACCCTCTCTCACTCCCACCCCCCAAAAAATAGAGTTATATGAATGGTATTGTGATATGATATGAAATTTGATCTTTCTCTGCTTGTGTTTTAAATTGTGATATACACTTTCAGCTCCACAAGAAATAGATGAAGGCCTAACCTATGACCTTGATAAAGGAAGTGGAGAAGAGAAGGGAAGTGATAGTGATATTGACAGAGAAAGTGAATGTGATGAAGAAAAAAAGAGTGAAAGATCTGGCAGGTATTTTAATGTCTTCTATTAAGGTCAATATTGAGTTTATGTACTGAAATGTAAATTTGAATTAATTTGTCAAAATCCAGATATGACAAATTGAAAAAACGAAAATGTTTGAATGCAAAGTTTTATAAAGCAGCATAAACAGGTCATAACCCTTCCTTTTCTATGACCAGACATATTCATGCTAGGTTTCCCATAACCTATTAATGGCTATTATTATGACAGATACAATCAGATCTGTGTTCCCAATTGCCACTCAAATCAATTGTTTCTGCTTTCATGTACAGCTGATTTTTGTCTGGGTTTCCAATTGTCATCGCAACAAAATGGATTTTGATATCGTGTACAGCAGATTTTGATTTGTGTTACCTGTTGTATATGCCATACCATTAGCCAGTACTAGAGTCTGTTTTGATCTGTGTTACCCGTTGCATATGCCGTACCATTAGCCAGTACCAGAGTCTGTTTTGATCTGTGTTACCTGTTGCATATGCCATACCATTAGCCAGTACTAGAGTCTGTTTTGATCTGTGTTACCCGTTGCATATGCCGTACCATTAGCCAGTACTAGAGTCTGTTTTGATCTGTGTTACCTGTTGCATATGCCGTACCATTAGCCAGTACCAGAGTCTGTTTTGATCTGTGTTACCCGTTGCATATGCCGTACCATTAGCCAGTACTAGAGTCTGTTTTGATCTGTGTTACCCGTTGCATATGCCGTACCATTAGCCAGTACTAGAGTCTGTTTTGATCTGTGTTACCTGTTGCATATGCCGTACCATTAGCCAGTACTAGAGTCTGTTTTGATCTGTGTTACCTGTTGTATATGCCATACCTGTAGCCAGTAATAGAGTCTGTTTTGATCTGTGTTACCCGTTGCATATGCCGTACCATTAGCCAGTACTAGAGTCTGTTTTGATCTGTGTTACCTGTTGTATATGCCGTACCATTAGCCAGTACTAGAGACTGTTACTATGATTTCACTCGTACTTATTTTTGTGAATTGAGGAATTTGTGGTTCCCCTATACCCGCAAAATCATAAAAAAGAATACCAAAAGTATAGAATCAATCCACAGCGTCATAACCCCCATGGAGTTCCGTATTTTCTATGGTATGCTTGATAATCATGATATCTACCGGTAAATTTAGGCACGCAGATCAACTGAAGACAGTTTTTTTTTGCTTTTTCTTTTGATTTAAAAGCAATTTGAGCAGATGAACAGGAAATCTGACAAACCTTTTATGAGAAATAAAAATGGGGTGTTTGGAGAGAGAAAGACTCAGGGGAAAGGGGGATGTGGGATCCACTTCCTATATACAAGGGGATAGGACGTGCCGCTGGAATATGTTACATTTTCCAGCTTGAAAATATGTGAATAGGTGGGGAAAACTATCAGAAATATATGATAAGGTCAATAAAGTTCCCATTACTTGTTATATGAAAAGCCCTGTAATTTTTTCACAGCTGAAAGTCTCGCCATTAGTAAACATTAGATAAGGAATGTGAGCCTTTTTCCAACAGACCACACCAGACCCTAACCAATATGGGAATAGGTTACATTTCTACTTAGTAATATATGAAAAGGTATGCATTTTTAAAATCTAAATTATATGAAAAGGGTGGGTCCCAATTACCTCATTTGTTACACCATAGATGTAATGGGTTTATGCATCTATGGTTACACCAAACTATACCTACTGGTTTGTTTAAAAGTTCAAAGGATGAAATATCATCAAAATAGACATTGTCTGACACTTGATCAGCCAAATATTATTTTGTATTGTTAAATGGTCATCTTTTATACAAGCATATTTATTATACCCCTTGCTAGTGCTGGGTATATGGTTTTTGATCCATCTGTCCATCAATCATCTTGTATTGGGATGATAATTCAAATACATTATATATTGGATTTCAACCTCACTTTGATATATGATCATATATAATGGGAGGAAGATCCCTATTGATTTTGGGCTCACTGTTTAATGTCAAGGTCATAGTTACTAAAAATAGACTAAAATAAGTACAGGAAAGGGATTTCCAGATAACTAGATATCATTGAGATGGGAGCCATCTCTGTGGGCCCCGCTGTGAATAATGTGTGGTAAAAAATTTGTATCTTTATCATAGGACATAGGGTTGTCAACTAAAACCAAAGTTTTTGACCTTGACCTTTGACCTAGGAAGTTGTACATACATTATGACACATCCTCTGGTGTTGGTTAATATACATGTCAAGTATAAACTTTGAAATCATAACGGTTCTCTAGATATAGAGCGGACACAATTTGTTACGGACGGACAGACGGATGGACGGACAGACTGATCACTATAGGGCGTCCGCCATTCGGCAGGGCCCTAATAACCAAAGAATCTCACACCAAATTAGAAACCAAGTTAAATATGTGATCTATTGATACTGTGGTCAATATGCCAGGGTCATAGTTCCTAAGAATGAACCAAATTAAGTGTAGAAAAGGAGTATTCCTATGATAACTCAAGGACCTTCACAGGATTAAATCAAAACATTTATTTATGGATACATAGAAGTTGATGGAGATCCCTATTGATAAATAGGCTCAATGCATGGGATGGGTAGGTTCTTTAATTTGTAATAAAAATGCTCACCAATTCTCAGTATGTGTGCTAAAATATTATTTTTATAATCAAGCAAGTATGGGAAATGGCCATAAGTTCAACACTTGCAAACACAGCTGTAAAAATCATTACTTCAGTCATTGGTGAGAATTTGTATGCACAAATATAAATCGTTCATTCACATTTTGTCAAATATTTTTATATTTACAGTGAAATAGACGAAGAAGTGAATGAAGACTTGGAAGACGGTGAGACTGTTTCTGATGAAGATGAAGATTTTACTCCACAGAAATATAAAAATGAACTGGAAGTTAGTTCAGAAACAGAAGGGGAGATAACTTCTGACGAAAGTGGTGAAGATAAAGAAGACACCCATCAAGAGACTGGTGATCAGTTTGACATTGATATAAAAAAGAAAGATCAAGAGGAATCTCATCAAAAGGAAGAAGAACAGGAGAAAATTGCCAAAAAGGATAATATTCAAGATAAGAAATACACAGAAGAAAAACAAACAGACTATGAAGAGGATTGCAGAGTCAGAGTGAAAGATGAAATACCAGTAGACAATGATGCAAAAAGTGATAACGACATAAACAATGATTGTAAGACTAAGCAGGAAGATGTCCATAGGGATGAAAATCAAGAAATTGAGATGAGAAATGATATTAAAGATGATGAAGGTCAAAATGTTTGGCAAGAAAAGAAGGATAAATCAGAAGTGAATATTGCCAATAAGGAAGGAGAGATAACTGAAGAGGTAAAAATAAAGTAAAACTATTAAATAGAAAGGGGCTTTATTGTCTTTCCTGCAATGAATACTACAGAAAACAAGAAATAGGGATGCTAAATATTACCTCAATTCCATTGATTATTGATTAACACTATTTTTTCTTAGTTAAGTCAGTTTGTCAGTTACTATAAGAGGCAGGTTAACAATTTTTATCAAATGATTATTAGTTTAAAATGTCAATCTGATAGGGCTCATCAAACTTTGTCCCATTTTCATTGTACCTTAATGAACTATTATGGTTTAGGAAATGGTCAGTTTGTGCAATAATTATGAATTTAAGGTCATTTATATTTGGTGTATAGAATGATTTTTAGGTGTCACTGATCTAACCTTTACCTTATGTTTATAGTTCATTGGTCTGTGTAAAGTGTTCATGATGAGGTCAGTTTTTTATTCACTATAAGTAACAGGTATCGTGAATTAAATTTGGTGTATGGAATCATTGTAAGTTATATATGTCCATCTGACAAAATTCATCTGGCCTTGACCTCATTTTCCTGGATATAAGGTTAGTTTTTTGGGGGAAATAAGACCATGAATATAAGCAAGCCTGTCAAAATCAGTAAAAAAGGTAGGACATTTTAGTGTATCCACTCTTGTTTCATTATCCAACTTGATATGTTGTATTTTCTTTGCTTTGAATCCATATTTCTCAAGAAACATATTTAATTGCTAGGTAGTTGGGCAATTTTGAATAAGAATTAAAAAATAGTATAGAACATAAGAAGACTATAAACACTTGAAAGATCAGGAAGAAGAGGGGAGAGAACTGGAATACTTTTAAAAAGATTTCTGAAAATTCAACCATGTTTAAAGGCAGTAACTACTTCTTCCACTTCTTTTCCAAAGTAAGGCAAAGTATTGACCAATGAAACAATGGAGTACCTAAACAGTGTGTTCTTTCAAAGTTGTTGTTATCTTATGTATTCAGCTTGCCCAATTCATGCAGGCCTCTTGGAACCTCTCCTTTATATTTCTGATGAAAAATACTGTTGAAGATTCCTAATTATTTAATAAGAGTTTATAATCCAATATTTAAAACAGGTCAATAGTTTCAATTTAATCATTGTATAATAAAAACACTTTCTTCAATAAACACGTTACTTTCCCCCATTATAGTAGTAATTAATCAAAATTTACGGGAAAATTTTCTATCTACTTCCCTCTGACAGGAAATATCCTGTGTGTAAAAGAAAATTTTAATCTGGAGTAGTTTTACAAAGTTTTGAAAGATGATAAAATAATGTATGTTTTAAATGAGATATAGCTTGTATTCAATGTAAAATTACAATTTCAGGGAGAGAAAAATCATGATTTTAAGATAAATTCGATCCTTTTGATTTATGAATCCATGGAAACTTCCCAAAGGTTTCTTCTTTCTTTTGTATTTTAACTTGACTTGATTTTTTGAAAATTGACAAATGGTGTTGAATAGGAAAATGTAATATTTTTTTTATCATTTTGAAAAGCAGATTAATGATGGTCTATTCTGAACTGAATAAAATATGAGGATTTTTGACCCGATTGCTTTAATTTCAAAGTGTTGAAAAAAGTTCAAATTTGATTAATTTTTCCACTTTATCTGGTTCTTCAGCTTTTGAATCTATTTGAAAGAAATGAAAAGTTACAAAGAGAAGTATTGTCAAGGGACAGTGGTGTAAAAATTTTGTTTACATAAAGTGGGATTTTTCTTTGCAATCAATTATCTTTATAAATCGAGAACTTAGGTGTCAAAGAGATTTCTAATCTTATGGAATAATTTCAAAGATGATGAATAGCTGTCATGGTTTTATTTTGTCGTGCAGACACAGAATTTGGTAAAAACTCTTAAGCCTGTATTTGTTATAAAATTAAAAAATCAATAGCTCAGTAAGATCTATGTCCAGTTTTGATACACAATAACTTAATCAATACGCTATACTTCAATTTCAACCATTGAGGATGACCATGCATTAGAGAAGCGTAATTAATTAGGAAGGATTTGAGGATATACTGCAGATTAATTTGATAAAGTGAAATTGTAAGCCACTTAGAATATTGACATTTTTTCCCCGTCATTTCCATTTTTCGCTGTCCTTAAAAATAAGACAAAGTGAAATCTTAAAAAGTTGACCAAAGGGAGACAACACTTTTAGTGTTACAATTATCAGATTTAATTTAAATCATGAAAACTTCACTATAGTTTATAGTCTTTTAGACTTAGGTGTTGAATTATTTTTTTATATTGAAAAATTTAATGGAATATGTTTAACAAAACTAAAATGACAATACACACAGTCAAATTTGCATGAAATAGCTTAATTAACACATCTCATCCTTTCTTATCTATTACATTGGAAAATGGTCACTTTTTTTTTTATATCTTTCATACTTCAACAAAGTGACAGAGGCAGGACTTAGGCATCTGATTTTCATGATGATGATATGGATCCATCCCTCAGTCATTTTCTATAAAACTTTTGCATAATTAATATGTGTTGCCATTGTTGAAAGAACACCAATTAGTATGGGTCTTTCTGCCAGCTTTGAGAAGTTCAAGTGCCATACAATGTTACAGTACAGTGCAATGTTATCACTGACAGAAATACTGTATTTATCCTTAAATTTCATTTTTGTTATGCTGGTGAGACTTAGGCATGTTGTTTCCACATCAACAATTGTTAAAGTTTGTGATTAGGTCAGTTTAAGGAGAACCACTAATGGTAAGTCAATGTGGTATGCTGCCATATGCAGTTGTATTAGCATTGGTACATTTCATTTCCATGGAGATATTTGGCCCCACCTCTCATTCATGGTCTTTGTAACTTTTCATAGTTTCATGTTGTAGTTTTTTATTAGGTCAGTTTGCTTGGAACCACTCATGGTAATTTAATGAGGAGCTGATTTTGCCCTGTAACCACAGAAAGGATATATTTACTGAAAGTTTTGCACATTGTACATGTTAAAGTGTTGCCAATTAAATTTCAACATTTGAATTATACTATTTAAATTTCTTACTGGCAAGAAATATCAAAATTTTATTTGGAAAGGGAACATAAAAGTGTAAGAAATATGGATTTACAAATGTAAGCAATAGTACTGTACCAGAAGTTATTTTTGAAGTCCTGTAAGTTAGGAATCAATATGGTAGATGTAATTGGTAATGAGACAGCAACAACACAAAAAAAAACAAGAAAAGACATCTAAATAACAATCTATATAATAATGTATCAAAGAGTGCTCATTGTTACTGAGAGTTCATTGTAAAAACAGTAAATCAATTTTGAGAAATATTTCTGTGAAATTTAACTGTAAAAAAAACGAGAACAAGTCATGTAAACAAAACTGCCAAGAAATAGTCTTGTTAATGTCTATTTGGTTTGGATAAAAATTAGAGATATCAGTTTATTTTTTTTTCTATCAAAAAGTTTACAGTGATGTCTGTTAGGAAAAGGCTTAAGTTTAGATTATACAGTAAATCTATTTCAGAATTGCTAACATGAATAAGTTTTTCCAATAAGCATTTGCTTTGTTATTCAAAACCCTGAGAAGTCTAAATGATTGACTGTCCACGGACTGACCTCATGTTTTGTTAAAAGTAAGAGAAATCTTTTATTTTCATCAAGCTTGATTAGGAAGTAACAAATAAAAAAAGAACTATTTCAGCCAAATCTAATAACAAGTATAGGTCCGGAGATTGTTTGTAGAATTCTATATAACAAACCCCTGCACAATTATTTGGTATAAATCAATTTAAACGGGCAGTAGAAATTTACAGCAGACTGGACAAGGCTTTAGATTTATTGCAGTTCTTTGGCAATAAAAATTGAAGTTAACATTTAATCAATATGGATAGCCACTGGTCTTCTGATCTTATTAAAACAAATCAATATTCCTTGGTTAAGAATGCTTGTTTTTCTCACTGACCAATTTCACATTTTTGTTTTAATCAATATTGTGAAGTGAAAAATTTACGAGGTCAGCGGGTAATAACCGTCCATTTTTTTTCTGTAGGGAATTGACTTTTTGTTAATCCAGGATTGTTTTATGTCTTTTTGTTTTTGCCATTAAGAATAAAAATCCTTTTAGATGATAGTAAATCTTTAAGATAGCCCCAGTTCAAATTACAAATGCATGATTCATTTTCCATAGATATACTTATTAATTCTCCAAAATATCCTAAAAATAAGCTCCACACTGTTTGTTTTTGAAAGACCTACACAAGATAGAGAGCTCGATTAAGTTGATTTAAGCTTCATGTAAAGTTTTATTTGTGAATTTAAATTTTGAAAAAAATGCAATTAAATGTAGCAATGTGACTTAAAACTGCTTCAGAAAAGAGAAATATTTTACTGCTTTTACTTTCTGTATAAAATACATGCTAATGGTTCAAACAGGTTTAATGAATTTTTAGTGATAGAACAGAATTTAAAAACAAACGTGTGTTGAAAAAGACATTTTCTTGATAAAGAAAGATAACTCTTAGCTGCATAATTTTTAGAAAAGAGATAGTTGGCAAAAATTTTGAATTCATTTTAGTTTTCAAGTACATTGAGATATACTGTTAAAACCTAAAATGCCTTATTAGATTATGAATGGTGAAACAGCAAACAGCTGTCTTATAACCATGTTTTTTTTCATATAAAAGTAAGACCTTTCTGTATATAATTTACAAAATAATAGGCATTATAAAGAATTCTGTTTACCTCATATGGAAGTTTACTCAGAATACTGATTTACAGAACAAACAAAATGTATAGTCTTAACTTTCAAAAAAAATATCCAACTATCCTCCCAACCTTGATATCAGCCAGCTAGATGTTATACTATATATCAACACTATAGTAAGCAAACAAATAAAAAATTAAAAAGACTAATGTTGGTCCCATTGGGGTCTAAGCGTGACGCGGGATTGCCGATTTTTTGTAAGTGTGACACGTGAAAGTCAAATTATTGTGCCGTGAAAACGGGAAATGAAGTCTAGCGGGATACGGGAAATTACAAAAAAAATGAGAATTGCTTACGTACATAGTGTAAGCGGGATACGGGAATCTGACAAAACAGTAAGCGGGATCTGGGATCAGAACCCCCCAATGAGACCCCCACTAATGATAGTTTGAGTTTATCAAATCTTGCCTTTCAGTTATAAAACTTTACTCAGTACTAGGGATACAAAATTACAAAAAAAAAATATTTTGATTGGTTGATTTCTAAGTCTGATTACCACAATGGAACTCAAAATTTTTATGACTGTAACCTCTGTTTAGTATTTCAAAAATAGTTAGAAATTATCAGCTTTGATTGATATTGAAAAATATTTTGTGTCTGTTTCAGAATTCTGTACAGGCTGTTTCAACATTACAAGGAAAAACAATCTTTAAGGAATTCAAATACAAAAAGGAAGTTACTGCATCAGAAATGGATATAGATAATCAAGCAGAAAATATGAAGGATGATTACAAGTATAAAAAAGAATCTCCTGAACAGAAAAATGAAATTTCAGAGAAAAGAGATAATTTGGTTAAAGAACTTAAGGATGAAGATGCTATATATTTGGGTGCTGAAAATGAATCTGTATTGGATAACCCTTCCTATGAAATGGGAAACAGAATTCATAATATTCCTAAATATTTAGAGGAGAGAAATGATATGGAAGATGTTGAGTCTTGCATATCAACAAATACACAGCAAGTGGCCACTTCTAATGTTCAACAAAAATCTGAAACAAGACAGGATAATCAATCAGAAAGGGAATCGGCAATAACTGATACAAGGAAAGTAGAATTCAGTGGGACAAGGGAGATAAGTCAAACTCGATCAGTTGTATTATCAAAAACACTAGAAAGTAGAGATAGTCAGCTTAGAACAGTTTCAAAATTTTCAAAGACTGATCCCAGTAAAACTTTCATATCAGTGTCCTCTATGCATTCTGTTACCCCTCCTATAAAATCTGTAATGGATAGGTTAGGGAGTCAGAAAATAGTATCAAAAGAAAAAGTTCAAGTTACATCAACATCAAAAGTCTCGCCTTCAGAGTTGTCAGCAAAAACTGTCTCAAAAGTGACAGCTGTTGCCTCATCAGAAAAACAATCATTTTCAAAGTTAAGTTCAAAAACTTCACCATTGAGTACATTATCATCCAAGACCATTTCAATAACACAGTCATCAGTAGGAATGAGTTCAAAGACATCTTCAAATACACCACCAGATCAAGCCATACCTTCATCATCAAAGTCATTGTCATCTAAAGCTAAAACATCCAAAACTGAACTGTCACAAAATAGTGACGAAAGTTTAGCCCCAGTGTTGACAAAGAACCAGATGGAATTATTAGAGCTGGAAATGAGAGCCAGAGCCATCAAGGCTATGCTTGCTGCTCATGAGAAAAAGGAAAAACAACTAGAAAGGCAGGCAAAATTATGAAGACAATGAAAACATGGAAAAGTTAAATCTGCCTTGTCATTTAATTTATGTTTATTCATTAAAACAGTGGACAATTTTAGAACCATAATTTTTTATCTCTTGTTAAATTTTGAATAAATATTTTTTGTTTTAATTGAATTATTGGTACAGACTACACAATTATTAGAATTGTAACAGTCCTGTGTTACTCATAAGACTGAATTGTTTTTGTTATAATATGTCAAAAAAGACCGTTATGGCATTAGACCTCATTAGAAAAAATGTTTGCACTTCTCATTTTGACCCTGCTTTCCAAATTATGTGCTGTTTTTATTTACTTGTTCAAGTTATAAGTCATCCTGTTGATAGTTCCACTGTGCAAGATATGCTAATCTGGCAGTGGCAGAAAGATGACCTGGATACTTCATATCATGTATACACAATGCATTATATTGCCAAGCTTCTGTCTAAAATATGTCTATTGTCCCTAAACTCATTTTCATTGTACAGCAACTGCTTAAAACAATGTTAATATTTTATACAACCGCAAACAATTTTTGCGGTTGTATATTGGTATCACGTCGTCGTCAGCGTCATCCGAAGACATTTGGTTTCTGGACAATAACTTTAGTTTAAAAAAATTTTTGGGGGGCAATTTTTTTTCCTCAAAAGAAAATTCTCTTCAAATATTATTTTTTTGGGAGGGGGGTAAAAAAAAATTTTTTTTTGGGGGGTGGGGGTCAATTTTTTTTCCCTCAAAATTTGAGAAATTGTCAATTTTCCAAAGAAAAAAATTGGGGGTCTCAATTTATTTTGCTAATTCTTTGTATATAGTCTGAAAATGATTTACTAAGTATTGCGCAACAGCACAGTGTATTGCACAACAGCAAGAAATCTTCAATTGAATATAAATTCAAATCATATAACCAATTTCAAGTTCTTTGACTACATTTATTCTGTGTCAGAAACCTATAATGTATCAAATATTTAATTACAATCGAAATTCAGACCTGTATCAAGCTTGAATATTGTGTCCATTTTTGCCCCAACTGTTCAGGGTTGGACCTCTGCGGTCATATCCAGCTGCGCTCGGCGAAGCAGTTTATTATGGTCAAGTTTATGCCCCCCGCCGCTAGGCTAAGGGGCATTAATGTTTTGATTTCCTGAAATTGGGTTCTGTTCTATAATTTTAGTTTGTCTCAACCAAATGTTCTTAAACTTATACACAATGCTTATTACCACAAAACACAGATCAACTTGGAGTTTTGCTGTTCTTGAGTTATGTCCCTTTGTAAATTGAAAAATTGCAGAATTTGCCATATATTTACATGCAGAGGATTTGTGTCCCATGGACACATTTTTCATTCATTTATGTATGATTAAATGAACTGCTCTAAAAATATAACCCAAATTGTTCACCATTCATTTATTCATGTCTCAATATTAAGAACAATATTACAGTGTATGTTGATTTAGTGGCTAACATTGGTACAGCTGGTTGCTGAGGCCAATGCCTTTAGAATGAATTGGAACAGTAGTTCAAATCTTTACATAGAATATTCTTACAACCCATTTCCAGTGATTGCCTCGTTCTTAGACATGTCACCCTACCAGGACACATTATTCTTTCCCTGAGCCGACCAGTCTTTGCTTTAACTCCTTAACAGCTTCGACCCCAAGCCAACCTGTAGTCGTGATGGCGACCACCATTCTTTGATGGCCAGTATGATCCTCCATACTCTTTTAGAATTGTCTTGACAGCAGGGACTTCAACCATGCAATTCATGGTCAATAAACTCTTCTCAGATGTGTGTTTATGAAAATATGGCAACTTTAATGGCCTTTTTAAGAGTTCAAAATCGGAAAAACGTGAAAAGTAGCCAAAATCAGGTGGGGGTGGGAGTCTTTTGATGGCCACTACGTTACTGGTATGGGCTGTAGTTATCAACATTATCATAAATACATGCAAGGTGGTACAGGAACACAAGGAGGTATAATATGGCCAAAAGAAATCTAGTCACCGTTTTGTCAGAAATCTGTAAAAACGGACATTTAGGCCGACCTGGCTTGCCAATAGTAATTCCCCAGCAAGACACTCATATCACATTTAATTCCAGTCCAGTATGGATGGACTGCTGTAACTATAATACTTGAATGACAAAGAACCACAGTTTGGTCAATGTTCACCTCTCAAGGTCGTATTAAAATCGAAAAGTAGACTGAAAATGACAATTTTTCAGTAGGGGTGGGTTCAAACCCACCAGAAAATATACCACCTCCAACCCTATCCCCCATCCATGCCATCTGCCCCCAAATCTCAATACATAGTTTAATAGATCAGCATCAGAGTTTAATAGATCAGCATCAGCTAAAGCATCAAGAGTCTACTAATTTGCATATATTTTGCATATGTTTGCAAATTTTCTAAAAAGCCTGATTTTCCAGAAATCTCTTGGGGTCGAATGAGTTAATGGCACTTGCTCAGCAGAGAAGCAGCAAATACCAATGTTAGGTCTTTGGGTTTGACCATGACTGGGTTCAAACCCACAACTTCCAACTCTCAAGGGGAGCACCCTACCACCAGACCACCTAGGTGGTTACCCAACACATTTTAAACACAAAACAAAAAGGCTAAATGATAGAAAATGGTAAGGGGTTATTGCAAGGATTCTTTAATGTGTAAATAGATCCTTTAGTGTGTAGAGAGATTCTTTAGTGTGTAGAGAGATCCTTTAGTGTGTAGAGAGATATTTTAGTGTGTAGAGAGCATGCCTCCCTCTCAACATTGGGCATCAGATTTATCATTATCATTTCAAACAGGTTTTCAGACAAGCAGCATATCTTGAGGACAAGTGAGAATACTGATTTGGATGAGATTCTATTGTAAAGTTTCATTGATGATCATTCAATAAATATTCCAAACATTAAAAACATTTTATTCAAATTAAAGTGATAGCTTCCTTTTGTCTTGATATACAGATTCTGGTTAATTAAAAAGACTTATTGCATTATACACAATAACAATAATTTAATGATGGAATGTAAAATATAATATGTAAGTACTAGGTATAGCTAATATCCCATAAAGGAGAAGGCTCATATATGGCACATGATAATGGAGGTTTGAAAACCACTTCAATTTTGCTCATACTAAAGTGAAACTCTAGTTTCTAAAATCAAGAAATAAATTTAAATGAATAAGAAAAGCTTATTAAAGATACCATAATTACATCATAATGTGCACACTTTTATGAAAATGACAAAAAAATGCTGATTTTCTGCAGTTTTTGATCCATAGAACCTTTCTTATAGCTATTTATATATTTCCACTTTTCAACCAAAAATATACTCAGTCAAAATTGATACAAAACAAACAAAATATACTAATTAGGTCATGGTTTCTTGCTATGGTTACTCATCAAAGGCAAATTTAATATCATGCATGATATTCTTGAATTTGTACGAAATATGAGGGCCAAATATGGGTTTCTTTGCCTACTCCTTTTAATTTCAACAACATTCTTACCAGTCTCAACACAATTGACCTCTGGCAAGTAATTGAGGAGGGTCATTATGCCCCCAAATAATCCTCATAATTTTTCTCAAATTATCATTATAGTCATCCTTTTGATGTTGGTATATTTTGCAAGCATCATATGAGGTCTGTTCCATATCACGTCAGTTATAATTCCATATTATAAGCATCAAAAGTTCTGAACTACAGATAACTTTAACATACTAGATAGTTTCCCCAACATTTTATTGAGAAGTTAAAATGCCACAAATAATGCCTTGACTTTATGCTGTTGACTAATTCTGTCAAAAAATTTGTCTACTTTCCACAAACTCTGACCTTTTGACAAAAAAAATGCCCCTCTAAATGTCAGAAGTAAGCATAGTCCCTTAAACCTCAATCACAATTCTTGTCATATACTGCTTTAAAGGGATTTTAATTTTCATTAAAATTCTGGGAACAAAAAAGTAACTTTATATTCCTACTGAAGGTGGGTGGTTCTCTCCGGCTTCCTTCACCAATAAAAACTGACTGCTACAAACTAGCACAATAGTGCTTAAAGTGGTGTTAAACACCAAACAATAAATCATTGGTATAACCTTTATTATTAATTAAAATTTATAGAGCAAACAGAAATCAAATACAAAAAGTTCCATAATGAAACTACAATAACATACAATGGTATTAAATTCTGAAGATTTGATAAACCAAAACAAATTTGATGTACTTACACAAGGAAGGTATTCTTTAAATCACAACAAATTATTAAAAGGTTAAAAATAATATAAGTATAATATAACAAAAAACAAAACATAACCTTAAAAAAGACTCAACTTTGTCTTGTACATGTAATTATACAATAAAAATCTGGTTACCACATATGAATGTATCATATGAAGAATTAATGTGAGCTTTGTAGAAATAATAAAATAAAATATGGACACTGCATACAAACAGGTACAGAAGTATATCTTCTAAATGATTTTTTTTTGCAATTGGCATTACAACTAAGGATAAACATTAAAACAAAACAATTTGAAAACACTACTTGTGGTTTTTAAAAGATTTTTTGTAAAAGTATGAACCTGACAAAAAATTTAATCGTTTATAAGGAAATGCAAATCCTCTTACTGCTATATAAATTATACATTTTCACAAAATCATCTGGAAATAAAGTAAGTCCAAAGGATGGTGATACAAATTAAGATTGATCCCAATTTTAGTAAACATCAGAATTATCTATCCTTTGGTAATCTCTCTTAAGTGACACCTTTCGTATAGAGTTGACAATTCTGGATATACATGTATACACCTCCATAACAGACCATAACTAGTCCAACAATCAAAACATAAACCATTGAAGTTTAGTACTGGATAAGAAATACTGTAAATTCAGAAATTATTGAGATGTTTTTATTAGTGCAAAAATGTGACAGTATCAGGTTCGCAATAATAAAACCTCACATTCATAATTTTGGTAGTGAAGTTTCTTGAGAAAAATTTAGCTTTCGCATTAATTTGATTTCACATTTTGGCAAGTAGTTAAGGATTCACAATAATAAAAGCATGCATTAATTTCTGAATTTACAGTAACTATACTTATTATTTCAATGTACAATTTATCACCAGCATTTACCAGTACTCAAATGACTTCAATAATAGACATATTATATGGTCTTCAATAATATAGACATACCATGTCAAGCTCTAAAACCTTCCAAGTTATTATATTCAACAGAGACTACCAACGATCTGCCATCTAAACCAAATCTCTTAAAAACAACAGATGTAAAAAAATGCTTCTGACTAGGCACAGGTCATTATTTACATACATGTATAAAATACATTGAAAAGATATGCAATTCGTTGACCTAAGCTTTTCCTATCTTCAGATTTACCAAGTACTGAATTGTGTAAACAAAAAAAAATCAATGTGCTTGTGAGCACTGAAGGATAAAGATTGCCTTAATTTTTGCAATTTTATGAATTTTATAAATTTGAGTTGGAGTTATCTTCCTTTGTTCATGATTGTACATCTATTTTTATAACCGATTCATACACCATGAATTACTTAATATGAAATTTTCAATATTAAGAAAAGTTTTCTTGACAAGTATGGTAATTCTAATATACATCATATTGTTACTTCAATATCTAAGTATAACATATCATTAATAAATTGCATGACATTGACTGCATAGGATCTAAAGAATGATCATTTCATTGCACTATATTGTTTGAACAATCAAAGGTAGTGATAAACCTTGGAAGATTTAGATATGAAGTCAGTACAATAGGGTTTGATTGTATTTCATGCAATCTTTACCCAAAAATGAATGGGAATAAGTAAAAACTATTAATTCATAGTGTAGTTTTGATAAAAACAAGACCAATGCACAGCCTGGATCTGTGTCATCGCATGCAATTAATTGATTGAAGTAGCATGTATACTGAAGCATAATCAATTATTCCCTTTAATCGAAGCCACGAAATCTTTGACAAAAATTTTCTTTGTACAATGAGTGTTGAAAATTTCCAACTATCAGAAGACAGGAAGTGGCTGCACGGCAGATGTCAATATTGCTTACTAGCTACAACTCAACATAATCAAGCTGTAGACCAAATATTAAACCATATTAAACCATTCTATTTCATAGAAACCAAGAAAACTTTCATGAAAATTTCATACCCAAGGTCTTTGGGACAAACAGACAGACTGACATAGTTGAGCAGTTACAAGACCTTATTTTGCCATTGGGCGACATAGGTAAACATCAGCATGAGATAAGAAATGTTCTGGCAAAGACAAAGTTTGATAGAAAGAAACATTTATTTTTCATAAACTGGAACACTAAGGTCATGAGTATTTTTTCAAAAACAATAAGATAACTATGGAAAAATAATCTAACAGGCTAAGACATTATAAATTGTACATTCAAAAACGACATTATCAAGTTTAAAATCACATACTGTGAAAAAGATAATGAACTAACCAAGTTTGGGTAGTAATAATTTCACTTTTATTCTAGCCAAAGTTATTGAAATTAGTTAACTAAATAAATTGGCAGAAAAAATGTTAACAAAAGGAGAAAAACACAGATTAATATCAATGTTGAGCGTACCATCCATCCTTCCCAAGTCGAAAGTAAACTTGGAAACATAAAAACTATAATGATAAATAGAGGATTGAAAAGGTTTTTTTTCTATGCAAATATAACTATCCACTCCTTGTCAAAAAAACACAAATTAGCATTATGCAGTTGATATGGGGAAAAATTATTTTGGAATGTATCAGAATAATTGTAAGAAGAATATATGCGTGACAATTAAAATGCGTCAAACACAACTAAAGATTAAAAAGTAAACATAAGTTTTAAGGAGAATGTTTGCAGAAAAATTACAAATTATCTTAAGTACATCAGCCTTTTGTAGTCTGTATAGCCAATATAAACAAATTATTGTAAGCAAAACATAATGCTGGAAAAAATATTTCTCTTTCAGTAGTCAAAAGAAAGGAAAACTCATCTTAAAATTATCTTTTATTGGATTGGCCATGGATCCTGGTTCATGGCACAGTAGTAGAGCCAGTCGGAATACAATGATACTTTACATTTTTAAGTTGTACATTTTTTAGAAGGATTACATCAATTCTTGAAATATGGCAACACTAATTAAGTTTTCACCAATTTGTTTAAACACAACTTTAAACATTCGGCAAAATACTATTATGTGTTTGAATTATTCCAGGATGGCCACTACAGACAATCAATGAGCCAGAATCCAAGGCTAGTAGTACATTTAGAAAATTAGTATGTAAAGTTTATAGTGCTTGTGTTAAAGAAGGTCTATTTTCAAACAACAAAGTACCATAAAACGTGTTTTGATTTGATCAATAGAACAACAAAATGTAAAAATACTTTTTAACAATGATAATGGTGGGTTTAATGTGAGTCCAATGAGAATTAACTTCTTCTTTCCTAGACATAGATAATATCATGTAAAATCCTGTATTTGGTCAAGAATATCTGCTACAATATTTTTATCTTCTATTTGACTAGATTCTTCATGTAGAATGTTGTGTAGACACCTACAAAATTCTGATTCTCTATGTCTGTATTCTAAATAGTCAGAATTCTCTACAAACAGATTGGCTAATATCAGGTTATTTGTCCTAACCTACAAAAAAATTAAAAAATATATATATCTTAACTTTCAAAATACAACTAGAGATTATTGTTTTGTAGTTACAACTAAAATTGCTGCCATAACCTAAGGGCTGTAACACAATGGAAAGTATTAATCAGACACAAAATCTATCTTTTAACCAACATTATACTTTTTTCAATAAAAAGAAGGTTTTATATCTAAAGGCCATGTGAAAAATCCAGACAATTGTATGATTTGGGAATGAAAGAAGAATGAACATGAGTAACACCTTTGACCCATCCAAACATGACATCAAAATCTCAAATAGTCCATTTTAGAAACTTACAAAGTTTACTATAATCGATCTTGCATCATTTGAATGGATTACATTATATTCTTTTTTATGTTTGAGAAAATAGTTATATTTTACATACAGATGTCCTGAGACATCACACCTGATCACCAAGCTGTAAGTCAGTCAACATTTAAATGATCATATCTACTAATACTTAGACATCATTAGTATACAACAGACTTGTCACACTTATATATAGACTTACCTCATCACCAGGCTGTAAGTCTGTCAACATTCTAATGATCATATCTACTAATACTTTGGCATCATTAGTATACAGCAGACTTGATGTAGATTTATCTCTGTATAAATCTGTCACAAACTTCATGACAGAATTCTGATGACATGACTGAAATTCAAACATCTTCACGGGATCATCTGAAATTCAACAAAAGACGATGAAAAGATTTTTTATCATGTCAAAATATGTGCTATTGTAGCCATCTGAATCAAGAATAAACAAAAGACTATTTACATATATGATTATAAGAGATTTTGTGTATGTATCAATTAAACAGCAATGCAAAAAAACAGACATCTAGAAGTCAACATATTGTCTTCTTCCATAAACAAGTTTCTATACAATGAAATGTGTAAAGGGTTCAGAACCCTGTGTTTCAGATATGAGTGATGCTTTCAGTGTAAAATTTTGAATTTGACAGCCAAAAATCTAAGTCTATCAGTAAATTTAGAAAAATGAATAAGAAAAATATAAATTTCATTCAGGGTGCTCTCTCTTGATTTGAGAGAGTGTAATGAGTGTCTCTTTTTTCATTACATCCCCTATTAGTGAGATCTGATAATACCAGTTTCTTTAAAGTTGTGTCACATGGACATTCAAGACGTTTATGACAAATAATGTAAACAGATTTACTACCCAGTTGAAGATTAGAAGTATGAATAAAATCATCTGAGATTATCATTATGTAAACAATATATTTCATTATTTAATATTTTATCAATTCACTGAATCTAATAACATGACTTATATCCAGTGCCCACAACTTTTTAGTTAATCTTCATTCCAAAGAAGATTGAATCTTCAATTTTACATAAAATAAACAGGAAAATTGGCATTTTGGTATAGTGATTGCTACATTTATAATTCATGACTGTTCCATATAAGTGTGCTTGGCAGGAAATTTATCCATGTAAAAGAACCTTATGCCAGCATCTTTTATAGGCTTTCTTACATAGAAAATTGCTTTTTATACAAAGACAACAATTTTTCCAAATCATGAGTTTTTTTATTCGTTTGTTTTATACAAATAACATATGAATTACCTCCCCTGTTAAAAAGAAGCAGTAATTTTTCTGTAAATGTTTTAACAGTGCCTTTGTCTGCCAGTACTTCCATGACAGGATTTGTTGTATGTTCTGTGTAGTGAAGATTTAATGCCAGAAGTACAACAATCAGCTGATCTGAGGCTTCATCCTCAAACTGTGGGCTTGGTGGCTTTTCTATCAACTCAAACATAAAACCAATAAACTTTTTGGTAATGTGATCTAAAAAGTAATTGTTGAGAAGCATAGAAAAATCATCTAACAGTTATAATTTAAAAGAAACATAAAAAATACAAAGTATACTGATCTTTAAACAAAGTAAAGGAATCAGGACACCTCTATCATGTGGACATTTCTCTGTGTTACTATTCTATTCACAGAAAATAGTTGATTTATTACTTATAGAATCTGAGAAAGTTACCTAATTATGAAAACTTAACATTGTTGACGATGATTAAGAAGAATTGATGTTAGCACCCTGTGGAACATGCATATCAGGAAGAGAACTTTTTAATATGATATGAATATAAACCCTGCTTTCAACTAGATCAATACGATGAGCAGGATTTTTGTTGTGCTAGTTCACAGATTACACTCCATAGGAAGACATGTCTTCCTACCCAGATTTATCATTATGACTCAGAGCTCAGCAAATACCATTTTTCAAGCCTTTGGTTTGACCTGGCTAGAGATGCTACAACAAGACAATTATTATTGACCAACCAATCAGAGACATATACATCTTACAATCATTTATACACCAAACTTAGCTAACCAATTACATATAGTATCTGAAAAACAGATCTTATCATGAAAACTTGAAGTTGACCATTAACCATAAAAATAAGGTCAACGTTTGATGAAACCCATAAGAAAGACATGTACACCTTATGTTCATTCTATATAGAAACCTAATATATTTGACCTAATGCCTTTAGTATCTGAGAAAATGACCTAATCATGAGAACTTAACATTGATGACTGGACCATGAAATGAGGTCAAGGTCAGGTGAACCTTGTCTTATGAACATGCATACCTTGCAATGATTTTATACACCAAATAGAGTTGCCCTATTTTTTACAATTACTGAAAAAATCACATTACAAAAAAATATACAATATTTTTAAGCAATCACTGAACCATGAAAATAAAGTTGAAAACAATGGACATATGCCGAACATAAACTTCAACTTCAGATAACTGCACATCTCTTTACAAGATATGAATTATCCAGCTTATGTACCTTCTGAAATATAAAGCTTTATACAAATATTTTATGCCACTAGAGATTAGCATTTCTAAGTATGACATATGTTGAAAGAAAGACAAATATCATTCTTTAAGGTAAATTATGCAGTATATTTGATTGATTGATTGTTGCTTGCTTAACATCCAGGGGCAAATCTATCAGAGATTTTACAAGGGTTCTTTAAAGTGCAGAGAGTGTGGCACTATTCCTAAACAAGACATCAGATTTAACGTCTCCATTCTGCCTATTTACAGACATACAGATGCCCCACTTTAGCAAGAGTTTTACTGCCCCATGGGAGTAGTCCAAGGATTGCCATATTTCTTAACCTCTGTCAACCTCAAGGTCTAGTATATTGGAAGTCCACCATCTCATTATTATTCAATTGTATTTAAATTAAAGAAATGATGCTGCTCCTTTATTTTGGTCATTTACTTTACAAAACTTCCAGCAAAAACTTTATAATTATATCTTACACTAACCAGACAGACTAGTAGGCAGTGGCTCTCCTGTTGACAGGATCATAGATAACACAATAGCTACATAACATAGTAATGGTAGATCTGAAACAGAGAGAAACATGTAAATCAGCCACCACAAGGTAGATATATATTGGCTATCCTGTTGACAGGATCATAGATAACACAATAGCTACATAACATAGTAACGGTAGATCTGAAACAAAGAGAAACATGTAAATCAGCCACCACAAGGTAGATATATAGTGGCTCTCCTGTTCACAGGATCATAGATAACACAACAGCTACATAACATGGCATGAACATTAAATAATCATAATATTTGAAAAATTAATGGAATATGCAATTAATAGAATAATTGTAGGGGTATCTCAACTTCATTTACTATTGAGGCAGTCAGTCTGAGGACGAAGATATCATTGTTTTGCAAATGAAATAGTACTGTAAGTTGTAACTATCCTCTGCATTTGGACCTATGTGTATGTTTTGCAATTTAGAAAATTTTAAGAAATCTTAGATAGAAAAATAGTTAATAACTCAATGATGCAATAAATAGGTATGTGCCCACTTTGCAAGAGTTACATAGCATAGTTATGGTACATGTCAATACAGATTTGAAATAAGATTTTCTGTTTCCCTTCTAATCATGACTATTTTTAGTGCAATTTACATGAACTAATGGAAAATTTATACAATTTTGTAATGGAGTTTTAATAAAATCATATGAAAATGTAGATATAGTATTATATTGACAATGAAATCCTGGAAGGAGAGAATGACATATAAAACAAGAGTGTATACAGTTTCTCTATCAATATAAACAAGAGTGTATACAGTTTCTCTATCAATATAAACAAGAGTGTATACAGTTTCTCTATCAATATAAACAAGAGTGTATACAGTTTCTCTATCAATATAAAACAAGAGTGTATACAGTTTCTCTATCAATATAAAATAAGCAATATAAACAAGAGTGTATACAGTTTCTCTATCAATATAAACAAGAGTGTATACAGTTTCTCTATCAATATAAACAAGAGTGTATACAGTTTCTCTATCAATATAAATAAAATGCTCTGCTGGGGTGCAGCTTGATACGACCGCAGAGGTCGAACCCTGAACAGTTGGGAGTAAGTATGGACACAACATTCAAGCTTGACACAGCACTGAATTTAGATTGTAATTAAATATTTGACACAGCATAGGTTTCTGACACAGAATGAAAGTGGTCTAGAAACTTAAAAATTTTTAATTTACCTTTTCAAACCATATCATTATTATTTGCTTTTATATATAAATCAGAAATAACCAATTTAAAATGGAAAATTCTAAAGAAAAAAAAGGAAAAAAAAATCCCCCCCCCCCAAATTTTTTGAACCCCCTTATGATTCATCACCCCCAAACTCAATCCCAGCCTTCCCTTTGTGGTATGGTACCTTGCAGTACAATTTCATAGAGATCCATACACTTGAACACAAGTTATTGTCTGGAAACTAGAAAAAAGCTTGTTTTTTGGCCCCTTTTTTGCCCCAAATTCCTAAACGTTTAGGGCAATTACCCCCAAATTCATACCCTGCTTTCCCTTTGTGATATGGAACCTTGCAGTACAATTTCATAAAGATCCATACACTTACACACAAGTTATTGTTCTGAAACTAGAAAAATGCTTTTTTTTTTGCCCTTTTATGGCCCCTTATTCCTAAAATTTTGAGGGAATTACCCCCAAAATCAATCCCAGCCTTCCCTTTGTGGTATGGTACCTTGCAGTACAATTTCAGAGAGATCCATACACTTGAACACAAGTTATTGTCTGGAAACTAGAAAAATGCTTATTTTTGGCCCCTTTTTGGCCCCTTCTTCCTAAGCTTTTTGGTCAATTACCCCCAAACTCAATTCCAGCTTTCCCTTTGTGATATGGAACCTTGTAGTACAATTTCATAAAGATCCATACACTTACACACAAGTTATTGTCATGAAACTAGAAAAATGCTTGTTTTTTGCCCTTTTTTGGCCCCTAATTCCTAAACTTTGGAGGCAATTACCCCCAAAATCAATCCCAGCATTTCCTTTGTGATATGGAACCTTGTGATACAATGTCAGAGAGATCCATACACTTACACACAAGTTATTGTCATGAAACTAGAAAAATGCTTGTTTTTTGCCCCTAATTCCTACAATTTGGAGGCAATTACCCCTAAAATCAATCCCAGCATTCCCTTTGTGATATTGAACCTTGTGGTACAATGTCAGAGAGATCCATACACTTACACACAAGTTATGTCTGGAAGTTACAAAAATGCTTATTTTTGGCCCCTTTTTGGCCCCTAATTCCTTAACTGTTGGTACCATACCCCCCAAATCAATCCTCACCTTCCTTTTGTGGTATTGAACCTTATGGTAAAATTTCATATAAATCCATTCACTTAAACTAAAGTTAGAGTGCGAAAACTAATGTGTCTTCGGACGACGACAACGACGCCGACGTCATACCAATATACGACCACAAAATTTTTTTTTGCGGTCGTATAAAAATCAGATTCCGTACTTGATTGTACTCGCTTTTTTCCTTCTTCTGACACAAAATAAGAAATGTTTGTAAAAGAACATCCTTGTAAATTAGAAGTTAAATCTACAATAAACATAAACAATAAGTTAATACAAAACAGTCAACAAATGTGTTTTTTGCTATAAATCACTAAAAAGTCCACTTACTATCATACTTATTCTGTATTTCACTGACCAGTTCTAACGGTAGTATAGAATACAACAGATTAGAAACAATAGAGGCTTCTAATCCACACATGGCACCAAAACATTTCAGCAAAGTCATTCTCAGACTAACCCGTGTTTCCTGAAATTTTCAAACAAAAAAATCTTGAAGAATTTGTAAATTATACTTTATGCCAGATGTTGTATGATTGCCAATGAGACAACTATCAACCCAAGTTCAAATGAAGTGGATGTAAGCAATTATAGGCAACCGTACGGTCTTCAACAATGAGAAAAACTCATGGACCAATAACTTGTTCCCTTTGCCCATGTCTGTAGTAATTTTAATGAATGTAATCTATGGAAAACTAATAAATTATAAAGTCAGGGATTTTGTTACCACAATTCACTTATAACCTTTAATAAATTCTTTCATAGATACAAAGATTTGATTTGGAAGTTTGGTTGCACCCGTAGAATCTTGTTACAAATAGGTTGTCACATCTTAATTTTACAGTGATTTTTATAGAGTTCACAAACTAAGATAGGATCCATATAATAGTAGTCCTTTGAATAGACTCCTTCCTAAGGGCTATCAATTACCATAAACATTGTAGTAAGATTTTAGATGTTGTCTTTATCTGTACTAATATCAGTTTTATCTTTAAAAGTTTTTTTACATAACTTAACATATATTTTTACTAGATAACATTTTTGTTGGCCATGGATATTCCCTATATTGTCAAGTTATCGGAATTCCAATGGGGACTAACTGTGCACACTTATTGTGGACCATTTTCTGTATTGTTATGAGTTACAATTTATGACTAAAATCAGCAGAGACCCGTCGAAACAACATCTGATACAAAAATTTAATAACAATTTTAGATATTTGGGTGATATATTGGATCTCCATAATGACGACTTCAGTATGTACACTAAAGAGATTTATCCTGCTGAACTGACTTTAAATAAAGCTAATACTAACAATGAACACTGCCCTTTCCTGGATCTTGATATCTATATCTTTAACGGGAAGCTTAATACCAAAATTTACAATTAAAGAGATGATTTTTCGATATCACAAACTAGTCGAAACATTTACTTAATTTTATCATCGGTACAAGGACATCATTCGTAAAAAATAAATCAACATGCAGACATCTTATACGTTCAGGTATTTCCAATCCAATCTTTTATGGTAATATTCTATACAAAGCACAAAAATGTCGTCATTCACCTCATAAACTAACCAAACCTTTAAACAGACTTATTCAGAAGGGATATAGTTATGATACTGTTGTCAGGTCATTAAAGATGGCATATTTTGGAATTAATATTGATTCAGTCATAGGGTCTTTGCATCGGAAAAAACACATTTATTCTAAAACCAGTTGTTGGCATGATACTGGTAAAGTTCTTCTCATATATTTTATGATGATATGATACTAAACCCGTAACAGGAGGGATTGTGCTTGATTTTCATATGATGAAGACATAATCTTTCAATCAGTTTAATTGAGGTCTGAAGCTGGCATGTCAGTAACTGCTAGTAGTCCTTTGTTAATTTATGTATCATTGTCATTTTGCTTAGTTTCTTCTGTTACCTATTCTGACATCGGACTGGGACTTCTTTTAAACTGAGTTTTACTGTGCGTATTGCTGTGTGTTTGTTTATTCTACATTGGCTAGAGGTATAGGGGGAGGGTTGAAATGTCACAAAACATGTTTAACCCCGCCACATTTTTGCGCCTGTCCCAAGTCTGGAGCCTCTGGACTTAAATAGTCTTCTATGTTTTTTTCAGTTTTAGTTCATTTATATGTTTCGGAGTTTAGTATGACGTCCATTTTCACTGAACTAGTACACATTTTTGTTTAGGGGCCAGCTGAAGCCCGCTTCGGGATGCGGGATTTTCTCGCTGTGTTGAAGACCCATTGGTGGCCTTGGGCTGTTTTCTGTTCTTTGGTCCGGTTGTTGTCTCTTTGACACATTCCCCATTTCCATTCTCAATTTTATTGCTATCCAGGTATTAACACATATGGTCTTACATTCTGTCATTACTTATATTTTGTTTGACAATACACAAGGTCGTGCTTTTATCAGACTTCTTATGACATCATTACACTAAATAAGTTGGTGTACTGATTGACATTTTAGTCTTGGAGAACATGGTTTATTTATTAGTTGAAATTAAGATTTGAACTAGCTTTCTCTAACTGTGAGTACTCTTAGATTGGTACTTTGTGTCTTAAGTCTTTTAGTTATTTGTTTTTGTGCTAAGTATCAATCTGATAAGAACTAATTTTTACAGTTTGTTCTTTTGTTGGTTTGTTACACCACTGTCCAAAAGAAGTTGGGAGTGTTTAAGAGCTCAGAAACATGTTTAACCCTGCCAAATTCTTTACATGCCTGTCCCATGCCAGGATCCTGTAATTAAGTAGTTGTTCTTTGTTGCTGTCCAATGTAATTGTTTTGTTTTTTTTAGTGGGGGTTGTTTTGTTGTTAAATCAAGCAATTGTTTTTTTCTTTTTTTCTTTTTTCACATTTTGTCATCCTGACACTTTTGATAGCTTACAATAGGGTGTGGGTTTTGATCATTGTGAAGGCTGTACAGTGACCTGTAATTGTTCACATATTTCTTCTTTGTTTTTTTGGGTAGTTATGGCATTGACAATCATACCACATCTAGTTATTTCTTTAGTAGCACTTTAATTTTAATTGTTGAGTTCACTCTGAACTGAGTGAAAGTTTTAAGTTATAGTTTCTTTTTATACAAACCATTTGGTAGTACTCCACTAGATTATGCAAAGCTTCGTATCTATCTTTAGCAACAACCTTTCTACAGACAGAAGACTTAGCATTCTCCTGAAAAAAAGATAAATCAATCAGAACTTTCTTTTCAATTTGGAACAAATACACATAAGCTAGTTTTCAGTTATTACAAACATTTGTGAAACATTATTATTGATTATTTGTTTACTTGTAACTGTGCAGCTTTACCTGTAATACTGATATCATTGAAACTAATTTTTTGTGTGCATTCCTCTCTGTATCTATGTTTTCCCTTTGAGCAAGCTAAAAATGGGAGGATTGAGTTCTAGAGATGCATGTTAAGGGCATACAATACAGTTACAAGGGAGGTAATGACATTGCTAACGTAATGTGTTATTTTTCGCGACGTCAAACGGCGACATATTGGTAAAACATGCATTTTTCGAGTGATTTTAATCATTAGCTTGAAAATGAGTCCATGGATCCCTCTTTTTAAGAGGACATTTGACTTGATACTGTATGAAGATTATTTGAACCAATTATTATGAAAAAATCACCGATGATTTTTTTTAAAAATTTGATAAATATGCAGCAAAAATGCTGTTTTTTACAAAGGTCATGAAATTTTAATAAAAATGAATTATTTTCAAAGAAGTGTTACACAAATTAAGAGCATACTTTTATAACGCAGATATTCCAAATCTTTTTACAAAAATCTGCATGTTTTTTTCTTTTGAAACAAAAGAGTTAAGTATGTCTGTCCAAAGGATAGAAATGTCCAAGAAACCGAAATTTTAAGTAAATGTCTAAAATTTCGACCCCATTTATCTCTAAATTTAGCACATGAAGGTATAATTTTTATTACATATTTGAATTAACTAAGTGTAAAATAGCTTGTATGCAAATTTTCCTAAAAAAATCACCACAGGATCAAAACTGTATCGTATGCCCTTAATGCCCTTGTAAACAGTCAGAAACCTTATCACTGGTGGTTTTTTTTCAAAGTTTGATGTCTCGTTGAAAGATCTCAAAAAACTCCTTCTGTTAATAAATACTATATGTGTTAATTTTTCTTTACTAGAGTTATAATCTTTAAAGTTCTAATTTCTAGGCAGATTGACAGTTTTTAAAACTACTTCTAAATGTTTATCCATCTGCCATCAAAGTTTAGATGGTGAAATATACTTGCGGCTCCAACCAGAGTTCTCGAAAAGTGGTGGTCCAAAAGTTTTTGACTACCAAAATTTTGCAAAGGACCAACACATTTTTCGTATTTTGCAATAGAAATAACAGTGAGGACCAGCAGATTTTCTTCAAGGACCACCAGGGAAAAAAGATTTTGAGAACTGTCCAATATGGTCAAATCTGATCTGCAACCTTGGTGGTTTGGTGGACGACCTTGCGATCTGATTGCGCAATTAAAATGACAAGTGACCTGTGACTGCAGATATGAAAAATTATCTCAAAAAATGTATACAGATTAAAACAGTTGAAGCTCACCACATGGTCTTCAGCAATAATATAGCAAACTCACATCATACTTAACAATCAATAAAATAAAATTGAGATGACTTCAAAAATTCAGGTCCCAAAGACTATGTCAAAAAGTCCTAAAATACTGCAGGTTAAAAATTTCTCTATTCAAAAACTGGTATAGGAATTTAAGATCATTAAAAAAATTGTATGTACATGTACAACTTTGTATATATACCAGTATAGACAACAGCTCTTCTAGATATCCTGATATAGTTTGATGATCTTCAAATAATCTCCAACTTCGTTGTTGTGCATCATCTTTACATTCTGTTAGCTTAGTTAATAGATCCTGTAATGTTTTACCATCGTAGGAAGATTCTTCATTCTTAGATTCACCCTGAAATGCATTTAAATGACAATCCCAAAATGTTTAACAACTTCAGCATTTTTAATAATATGGATACATTACTATAGTAAATCTTCTAAGAGGTTTGATTGGATTAACTGATCAACACTTTTTACTGCTTCAATAACACTATAGTTCAATAAGTACTTTGAACTTGTATTATCATTTTTGCTTGGTTGTACTTGGTTTTTTTTTGTGTTATCTATTAAACTTGTCATTTTAGAGTTAATTGCTTCTCCTGTACTGATTTTCATTGATGTTTATTCATGTATGTTTTGTGGTCCAAATGAAAAGGAAGAAGGGGTGAAATAAAAAATAAAAAAAGTTCAACCCTGCATCATGTGCCTATCTTAAGTAAGGAAACTTGTCAGCAGTTGTCTAAAGTCATATCTTAATGGGGTCTTTGGTAATAGGAGAAATTGGTGTCAATGGCAGATATTTAAATGTTTCTGTTTTTTCACAACTTCAATAGACAAGGGATGATTCAGTGCTTGACATATTGTATAGACACTTGTCAATTATTGAAGATTGCATGCTGCCCTCTAGACGCCTATTGGTTATGTTGTAATTGGGTTGCTGTCTCATCTATGTATATGCACAGATAGTAACGTCGTCATATCAATGAGCGTTTAGTACAGTGATTTTGTCATAGTTTGGTTAAGTTGGACATGATTGTGTTAAGTGTTTTTAATGACAAACAATGACATAATATAAACATTCACATTTCTTTGCTAGCCTAAGGAACTTCTAAACATAAATTCAAGCTGGTAAGTATCTCTGTTTATAGCTAATATGTTAGTACATTAAAATTTGTACCATAAATTTGACACAGAATAATGCTTGTGTATGCCAAAATTTAAAAGTTGCTTATTCGTTTCTCATGCATAAAAAAAGTGATGTGTTTACTGACTGATACATCACATATTTCTTAATAAAACAAAAGTGCCATCAATTATTCCGAAAAATAGCTACATTTGCACACAAATTAAGATTACAGTAAATTCAGTGTCATGGTTTAGTTCATGATCGACATGGTTCAGTTCCGTGATTCCTGTCGTGTATAATGGAAGAGTAACGATCAAAACTAACAGACATTATACAACTATTGAAATACATATACTGTTAAAAAAATTATTTTCACAGTTACTTTTTTTTCGCGTTTAACCCATTCTATCCTATATTGAGGCAATATATAGTTGCCATTTTCTGATGATGTAGTCTTGTTCCCATATGAATAGATCTAAGTTTCACATATTTACATTGATCTTCCACTCGTAAAAATGCATCGCTCGAGAAAATAAGTCCTCTACATTAAATTTAAGATATTATCATTATAGAACACTCATGTATTATAAAGAAACCATGAGGATAATATATTAATGCATTTCAATGGCAATTTTCTTTAAAAGTGGTTTTATTTGGAATACAAAAGGACCCAAGAAAGCACACAGTAAAATATAATAAGTAGATGCGGTATGATTGCCAATGAGACAATTATTCACCCAAGACCAAATGACTTAGATGTTAGCAACTATAGGTCTCCATACAGCCTTCAACAATAAACAAATCGCATACCTCTTACCAAGCTATAAAAGGCTCTGACAATTAAAATGTAAAGCAATTGTGAAATTGTGATGTTTCATATATTTAAATATGGATATTTGTAAGTATTTTTCATGAAAATTTCATTTTAAGTTTATTAAAAAAAAAGTTTTAACTGTTGTCCATGTTAACATTTTGTCCCATGGAGGGTTGAAGACCGTATGGTGTCCTCTCAATATTGTTTGGCTAGTTTTGTAGTTAGGTTACTGTATCATGGGTGTACAACCCCACCATCCCCTTTTATTCATCATAGACATAATCTGGTTCAAAACAAAAACAACAGATGTATAGTTTGCTAGAATACAATGTAAAACAAAAATTATTTTTTGACAAGTTGCTATTTTAGGTAGACATCTTTAACCATTTGACTAGTGACATTGCTCAGGATATCCCAGGCAGAGTCCATCATTGACAAAATGAGAAAACATTCTAGGCGAAACAGAAGCAGCGTTTCGTGTTTTAATAATTTATTTGATTGAATGCCAGTTAAAAAGAGTAGTGCTATATAAATTCTATCTTAAGAAACACGAAAAGTAAAAATGTATAATGTACAGTTTGCCGATTACACCAACCAAATTTGGTTAAAAAGTGTTTTTTTCATCTTAATTCAATTGGTAAATTGTGTAACTTTGTTTTTTCACAAGCGCCTTCAAACAAACCATCAATATTAAGGTGAAACAAATATGTATTAATTTTGATCTTAACCATGACAAATTTGATCAAAACCATGACAAATTTCTAGACACTTAACTCAACCATGTCAATCGCTTAACCAAACCATATCAATTTCGATATTTTGGTTATCCTGTGTTAATTTCTTAAAAACAACCATTTCAATGTAGATCGTTTGACTTACAATATAGATTCAAACATCTTACTTGCTTTTTATTTGCCCCTTTTAAAGGAACTGAGGCAATCGTTCTGGGAAGTAACCTAACTAAACCATGACCAGCTTAACCAAACTATGAAAAAATCACTGTACTAAACGCTCCTCGATATGAGGACATTACTACCCGTGTATATGTCACAAGGATAATTTTAAACTTATATTTTTATGTTACCATTTTATTTAGAAATTTGATTTTTTACAAAAGTAAGTTTTACAAATTTGGAAGTTTACATGTACAGACAAATTATTTGTTAATTAGTGACATTTGATGTTACTTATGTATTTGTGAAGTTACTGAAATTAATATGAAAGATTTTAATTCTTATTTCATTCTAAAGGTGTGAAAAATAATGTAAAGGGGAAAATGTAAGAATGAGTTTATATGAGCAGTTAACATTATCTTTTATATCACTGAAAACTGTCACTTATGGCTAAAGGTTATGAAATCTCATTTCAATAAGAGTATTGTCATGTTAATTGAGTATTGTCTATTTTCAATATTCACTATAAATATTGGTTGTAAACTTTGTGAAATCAGAATCAGTACAAACATAGAACAGAGAGAGAACATATAGAACTATTACAGTAGGAGTCATTTTGTATGGACATTGTCCTTTGTATGTTATACTAGTAATTTGGCTTGGAATTAAATGATAAAACTTGATTGTGTTGTACATTCATGAACTGCAACAACTAGTTCCTGTCATTGGTGTCTTCAAGACTTAAATGTTTTTCTAATGATTTTACAAATAAAATTAAGGAGCAAAGACAAGTACCAGCTGCCCCCTTTGTTACATATATCAGCTACATCTCCTTTTATTCATACTGTTTCAACTGTTTTTAAAAATTGTTTATATTTCATAGATAAAAATCAGCTAATCAACTTTATTGAAGAATAGTGTTTGAAAGAATAATTTCCTTCTAATCTATGATATCTATTTTCTCTAGATATACATCACTTTGTCCTTTTAAACCTTATCCCTTTTCAGGGCTCCATCTTCACTCATTCTTGTTTTTAATCCAAGAAAATGCCGAAAGTGTTGGTAAGTCTGTCAAATAAATAGTAAGGTGTTACCTCTGAGAAGGTCATGAGTATTTTATCCATGACTGATGCCATCTGCGGAAGTCTAGCTGCCACCTGACCAAGGACAATCTCTACAGCTAGGCAAGATTTAGGGTAACTCAGTCCTGTATGTTCTCTGAGCTGTTCAACCATGTCTGAAGCCATTTCACCAGGTACAGATAAACTCTCAAAGTTTATCACTGATGGTGACTTTAAAAATCTACTCGGACTATGTTGTACATTTTTTGATGGACTGGTTGGTAATTGTATGGCAGGAAGAGTTCTCTGCACTGACATTTCACTATCTTCTCTAGATATTACAATATACGAGTTACCGGTCGGTGAGTTGACATCCTCAAACTGGTGCTCAACAAAATGAATAGGTTCCCCCTTCCGTTCAGGTTCTACAGCATTAACATCTACATCACTAAATTGATGACTTTCTGTATCTGGATCTTCCAAATGATTTCTATTTCTTGTTCCCTGTATAGGAGATGAGTCGGTACCAGATGTAATGTTAGGTTTTGTCTCATTTTGCTTCGATTCCTCTGAAAGTAATGAAGAGCTTGAAGAACGTGAACTCTCAAGTTCTGTCTGTATGGAAGGAGAAGATGATGAGGACACAGTGGACGATGATGAGGATGATATATCTGTAGAGGAAAGCTGTGAGCTACGTGCTGGTGGTGGTGGTGCTGATCGTTTGGAGGAAGTTCTTCTTGTTGGTTCTAAAAATGTGAAAGACTAAAGATAAAATAATAAAGCATGTGTACAACTATATACTATCATCATGGTAGGAACAAAATGAAATTGTTTAACTAGACCTCAGTGCTTAAAGTTATAACTAGTGCATTTTCAAATAAAAGAAACTAAAGTAATATAAGGAGACATCCATTTGATATTTTGATATTCTGGGGTGGGGTGAGGGTGCCAAAGAAAATTAATAAAAAAAAACAAAATGCAGAAAAAAATGTAAACAATAGTGAAAACAAAACAAAAATTAAGCAAGAGGTGAAAATAAATATTACTTCAGAAAAATTCCTGCTGCCTCTCACCCAGAATATCAAATGGTCATCCACTAACAGATAAAACATAAATATGTGGTTTTTTTTAAGTATAAGATTTCTAAATTCTTGTTTAACAATTCTGCCATTTTGAGGGTCTGGATGGGGTTTATAGAATAGAGAATAATGGGTAAAAAGTGAATGCAGAATCAAGGGCAAAAATGATAAAGAATAAGAAAAGCAGGCAAAAAAAATGTAGACCCTTCATTATCCTTTGTAAAAAATTTCACAACTTTTATTTTAGACATGAGTCAATTTAGAGCTTGGCATACTATACAGGAATCAGTCTATTGCACATGTATATTAACATCTAGATGTCTTTCAGTTTTTCTTTTGTGTAGTTTTTTTTCTAATTTGACAAATATCCAACATCTCCCTTTATTCATATATTACTGAGTTATACATAAATTTCCTGTTATATGCAAGTCCTCAACAACAATGATCCTTATAATATATGGCTGAAAATAATTATAGTTTCCAGCATTTAGCACAATCAATGTTGAATTCAAATGCAAAAATGTGTCTTTAAAGTTTTTGTTACTCATTTTTTTTTTTTTGTGCTTTAGTGTTGATTTGATGAGTCAAGCCTTATTCAACTGATTTTTATAGTTATTTTTTTTTTATGCTGTTACACCACTGTCTAAGGTTAGGCCAGGGTTGAAAGCTCACAAAACATGTTTCACCCTGCAACATTGTGTATGTACCTTTCCCAAGTCAGGAGACTGGAATTTCATTGGGTCCATACAGTGACCTATAGTTGCTTACTTCTACTTCATTTTGTCTCTGGTCGTGAGTTGACACATTGGCAATCTTACCACATCTTCTTATTTCTATATTGTTGTTGGTTACTGTCTATCGTATTTGTATTTCTCTTATTGTTTTGAGTATAACTCAGGCTGTTGATTTTCTCATTTGAATTGTATTACGTTTTGTTTTGTCAAGACTTTTCGTGGCTCACTGTAGCGTAAGGATTTTGCTCATTGTTGAAGGTTGGACACCGACCTATAGTTGCTTACATCTAAATCATTTGGTCTCTGGTAAATATTTGTCTCATTGACAATCTTACCACATCTTTTTATTTTTATAATGAATAGTAATTAAAATGCCTATCTAAATGCTTTTGATGTAAAAAGTACTGAAATAGTGACCGGATGAATATCCATTTAAATTTCCCTTATTGAGTCATGATAGTGCTTATGTGTCAGTATATCTTCAATTTACTTTTCAGTTTTTAAGCATTTATGTTACTTAGATTTTATAAAATGGATCATAGACTCAAATGGCTGAGTTGTGCAGATTGTATCTTAAACAATGAAGAATGGTATACTGAACATTTAAATATATATGGAAATATTAAATTTAAAAATCATCAAACAACTCCATAATGAAAGGTGCATAACCTCAGTAACAAACTATATATAAAGTTCAAAAGATGTGGGTTAAAAACAAAAATTGTTACCATCTTTTGAAATTTTAGGCTGAAAAATCACAAATTTCCTAAGTCTGGAAAATAGAGAAAAAATATTCAAAAAATTCCATAATAGCAGGGCAATGAATGTGCAATAATTCTGTAAAGTTTAGAAGAACTGGATGGAAAACTGTAGGAGGAATTGACTTTTCCTAAAATTAGTACTATCTTTTGTAATTTTTGGTGAAAAATGACTTAGCCTGGGAAAAAAGGAAAAACTTCCTGACACAATTCCATAATAGCAGGTGCAGAACTTCAACATGTGTCTAATCTTTTTGTGTAGTTAAATGGATGTGGGTTGAAAACTGTAGTAGAACTTGATTACACAAAACAGGTACCATCTTTTGTAAAGTTTCCTAGAAATTACAAAGTTCCCAAGTCTGGAAAAATTGGAAAATTATACAATTCCATAATAGAAGGTGCACAACTTCAACATGAGTGCTATCTTGCTGTGAAGCTTCAAAGATTTTGAAAACTGTAGGAGGAGTTGATTACTCAAAACAGGTACCTTCTTTCATTTAGTTTTGCTGTAAAATTACTTAGTTCTCAAGTCTGGAAACATAGAGAAAAATTCCTCAAACAATTCCATAATAGCAGGTGCATATTCTCAACATGTGTACAATTTTTCTGTGAAGTTTCAGCAAAATGTGCTTAAAACTGTAGCTGAGGAGTTGATTACACAAATTGGGTACCTACTTTTCCCCACCCACCAATCTGCCTGCCATCACCTTACTATAAGCTTGTTTTGGAATTTGTCATTCCCAGCCAACAGCTTTTAATATGTTCAGATGTTTTGACATTAAAGGGTTAACCCATAAAATATTGTTTTTTTTATGGAAAGTCCAGAAGAAGAAAAAATTTGTAAGGGTTCTGTGGAACCCAGTGTCTCGCCTACTTTTGCTATTATTGCAGGCTCAACAAAAATGAGGAAAAATATTAATAAAAATATTCCTCTCTATACTATCTTTTGATTGTAAGTAGCTTCTGTCCAAGTTTGGTAAAAATCCAGGATAGTTTATGAATCTAAATGTTTTAAAAACTTAAACTGCAGACTGTATGTAATGTTAACTGGAAGAAAAATTCGTAAGGGTTCCGCGGAACCCAGTGTCTCGCCTACTTTTTCTGTTAATCGCAGGCTCAACAAAAATGAGGAAGTAAATCAATAAAAATATTCCACTTGATACTATCTTTTGATTGTAAGAAACTTCTGTCCAAGTTTGGTAAAAATCCAGGATAGTTTATGAATCTAATAAATGTTTAAAAACTTTAACTGCAGACTGAATGTAATGTTAACTGGAAGAAAACAAAATTTCCTTCTAGATACTAGCATTTGATCATAAACAAGCTTCTGTCCAAGTTTGGTACAAATCCAAAATAGTATAAGAAAGTTATTAAAATTTTAAAAACTTTAACCACAGAGTGAATGTGTTGTTTCCTGGCAGAAAATCCAAGTCCATTTAAAAGTAAAATACAGAAAAAATGGATTTATTTTTTTACAAAATTTCCTTCTAGATACTAGCTTTTGATCATAAACAAGCTTCTGTCCAAGTTTGGTAGAAATCCAAAATAGTATAAGAAAGTTATTAAAATCTTAAAAACTTTAACCACAGAGTGAATGTGTTGTTTCCTGGCAGAAAATCTAAGTCCATTTAAAAATAAAATAAGGAAAAAATGGATTTATTTTTTTTCCAAATTTACTTCTGGATCATAAACTTTGGTAGAAATCCAGAATAGTTTAAGAAAGTTATTAAAATTTCAAAAACTTTAACCACAGAGTGAATATTTGTGGACGCCACCGACGACGACGACGCCAACGGAATGTAGGATCGCTATGTCTCGCTTTTTCGACTAAAGTCGAAGGCTCGACAAAAATGATGACTTCAGTATGTACACTAAATATTAAGTCCATTTATAAGTAAAATACGGAAAAAATGGAACAAAATTTTAACAAAATTTCCTTCTAAATACTAGCTTTTAATCATAAACAAGCTTCTGTCCAAGTTTGGTACAAATCCAGGATAGTTTAAGAAAGTTGTTAAAATTTTAAAAACTTTAACCACAGAGTGAATGTAATGTTAACTGGCAGAAAAACTAAGTCCATTTATAAGTAAAATACGGAAAAAATGGAATTTTTCTTTTACAAAATTTACTTCTGATACTATCTTATGATCATAAACAAGCTTCTTTCCAAGTTTGGTAGAAATCCAGGATAGTTGAAGAAAGTTATTAAAATTTCAAAAACTTAAACCACAGAGTGAATGTAATGTTTCCTGGCAGAAAAACTATGTCCATTTATAAGTAATATACGGAAAAAATGGAATTTTTTTTTTTACAAAATTTACTTCTGAATATTATCTTATGATCATAAACAAGCTTCTGTCCAAGTTTGGTAGAAATCCAGGATAGTTTAAGAAAGTTATTAAAATTTCAAAAACTTAAACCACAGAGTGAATGTAATGTTTCCTGGCAGAAAAACTATGTCCATTTATAAGTAATATACGGAAAAAATGGATTTTTTTTTTTTAAAATTTACTTTTGAATATTATCTTATGATCATAAACAAGCTTCTGTCCATGTTTGGTAGAAATCCAGGATAGTTTAAGAAAGTTATTAAAATTTCAAAAACTTAAACCACAGAGTGAATGTAATGTTTCCTGGCAGAAAAACTATGTCCATTTATAAGTAATATACGGAAAAAATGGAATTTTTTTTTTACAAAATTTACTTTTGAATATTATCTTATGATCATAAACAAGCTTCTGTCCAAGTTTGGTAGAAATCCAGGATAGTTTAAGAAAGTTATTAAAATTTCAAAAACTTAAACCACAGAGTGAATGTAATGTTTCCTGGCAGAAAAACTATGTCCATTTATAAGTAATATACGGAAAAAATGGAATTTTTTTTTTACAAAATTTACTTTTGAATATTATATTTGAATTATATCTTATGATCATAAACAAGCTTCTGTCTAAGTGGAATTTTTTTTTTACAAAATTTACTTTTGAATATTATATTTGAATTATATCTTATGATCATAAACAAGCTTCTGTCTAAGTTTGGTAGAAATCCAGGATAGTTTAAGAAAGTTATTAAAATTTCAAAAACTTTAACCACAGAGTGAATATTTGTTGACGACGAGGACGCCAACGGAATGTAGGATCGCTATGTCTCGCTTTTTCGACAAAAGTCGAAGGCT